ATTTGTAGTGTTGTATGTTATAAACCTATATTACATGCAGCTTTAGAGTGCTTTTTTACCCAGTTAAGTAGGACTTACATCTTTATGCAATTTCATAATTACTTCTGTTGTCTTTAAAATATGGTTAAATGTACTGATCAATTTACTGCCCACCATTTATGATAACCTAATTTACACTTTAATGTAATTTCTATTGAAACTTGAATCTCATATATTTAAATATATTTGTAATTACACAATTGCCATGATGAAGTTGCAATTTAGTACATTTAAAATATATTAACTTTAAATGTAATATCCAAAGAACACATTACAGTTAAAATTATAATCAAGCACTTAACATGTGCTTTAGTACATTAGTCAGCACATCAAAACAAATTTACTTATTTAAAGCACAACAAAAGTTTATTAAAACATGATTTAAAAAGTACTTTAAAGTAAAATGTGTAATTATTACAAAGTTCACTTTTGAAAGTGTACTTAAGAAACTTGTGACCTTTTATTTAATTAATATTATATTATTTGTAAGTACAGTTTTTCCAAAATTATTTTAAGATTTAAGTACATTACGAGTGTGTGTTCAATACAATTAAGCACACTTCTTTTTCACAAGGGTTTCTCAGCTTACTTTATTTATTAGTGATGTTTGTTTTTTTTATTTCAAAGCAGACAGGCTTATGATTATAACCTTGCAGAAGATAAAAAATCAATTGGCATAAACTTGCATTAATGGCAAGCCCATTACAACCACTCAGAATACTGTAGAAACTGCATAGAAATGCCCTGGCAACCTCCTTGGACACTCGAGCTACTGCTTAGCAAAACCCCAGAAACCATTCAGAACATCTTTGCAATATCAATATCAGTTAGCTAACAACCACTTCAAACATCTAAGCAGCCATATAGCAATGCTAGACACACCCTAGCAACCACATGAGAACATGCTAAAGCACCTTAGAAACTGCTTAGCAAAGTGCCAACAACCACTCAGATCACCTCAGCAACCGCACTGAAGTACACTGACATCTGCTCAGAACACTTAAAGGGATAGTTCACCCAAAACAATGACAATTCTGTCATCATTCACTCACCCTCAAGTTGTTTCAAACCAGACTTTCTTTCTTTTGATGAATACTAATACATTTTTGAAGAATGTGTCCCCATTGACTTCCATAGTATTTTTTCCTCCATACTATGGAAGTCAATGGAGACCAGCAACTGTTTGGTTACCTACATTCTTCAAAATATCTTCTTTTCTGTTCAACAGAAGAAATCAAGTCACACAGGTTTGGAACAACTTGAGGGTGAGTAAATAATTGTCATTTTTGGGTGAACTTTCTCTTTAAGCAACTGCATACAAATGCCATTTATGACATCTTAGAACCCACATAGGAATGCACTGTCAACCACCTACTCTAGGATAGTGGGGATTGTGTGTTTTGTATGGTCAAGCACCACTTTTGCTTCATAAAATGTGAATTATCAAATTAGTCAAACTAGTCAGTTATTAGTCAGCTGTCTAATACTCTATTGTTTCTGTGACAGAATTCTAAGATTTACGTTGGAGCCAAAAGAACGTCCAACCCTCCTCATATATATGCAGTTGCAGACATCGCATATCAGTCCATGGTCTCCTATAATACTGATCAGGTAGAGTATGTTCCTCTATGAACTTCTGGACTGTATACTGGAAAAGTGGTAACCTGCAATTGTTACTTGAAAGAAATATTTCTTCCTGATTTAACCCATATAAAGTAGTTTTGGTAGTATCAAGTAATGTATTTAGGTTGATTCCATGATATTCAATAATATTTTAATATTTAGATGTTACAATTTTTTAGTCATGTTCTGAGTATATCAGTCATGTTCTGAACTGTGTTTGTTTCTGTGTGCAGTGTATTGTTATCAGCGGAGAGAGTGGTGCTGGGAAAACAGAAAGCGCCCACCTATTAGTCCAACAGCTGACTGTTCTTGGAAAGGTTCGGAGGCAGCTTTATGTTCTCAATCTTATATTATGACTTATGTTATGTTTTTTCATAAAATGTCTCTCATATTGTCACGATTCGCTGCTGGAAGGAACGATGGAGACGTGGATAACATATGGTATTTAATGAGAGAATCACAGGGGTAAATCCACAACAGGAACAGGTGTAAACACACGTAATCCAACAAGTAGACCCGACAAACACAGACTGAACAGTCTGGGGCTTAAATACACAGGACACATTTGCCATCAATGAACAATCAACGTGAAGGAGAAACTGGGTCACAGGGATCACAGGTCTGACATTTCTCCCCCCTTACGGAAGGCGCATCCTCGCGCCGTAGAAACAACAGAGGGAGGGAACTTGGGAGGAGGCTCAGGAGGAGGACGGACACCCGGGAGGAGGCCAGCAGACAGAGTCCAGGGAGGTGACGAAGGAGGGAGGAGCCAGGGCGGAGACAAAAAGGACTTGGAGCAGGCGGTGCCAGGTGGGACCCAGGCAACAGCCATGATAACGACCCATGGTGGAGCCGACGGAGGGAGGAGCCATGGAGGAAGAAGGGCTGACGACTCCAGGGGGCCAACCAACTGCGGTGGAGCAGGTGGCGGAGGAGCCCGAGGCGGAGACTGACAGCTGATGAGCCAGGGCGATGGGGAGGATCCAGAGGGCCAAGGCGGAGCAGATGGTGCCAGTGATCGAGGCAGAGGCGGGGAACCAGAAGGCCGTGGTGGATCCGGAGCGACAGAGGACTGAGGAGGAGCCGAAGGGAAGGAGGAGCCTGACAGAGCCGGACGGACGAGGCGCAACCGGAGGAGTGGAGTCCCGAGGCGACAGATGGTCGACGACAGACCAAGGCGGAGCCAGAGGGACGAGGGAGCCAGGTGGAGCCAGTGGACTGATGGGCCACGGCAGAGAGGAGGGAGCTAGGAGCCATGGTGGAGCCGCTGGGTCAAAGGGCCGAGGCGGAGTCCGGGATTCAGAGGCTGGAGGCGGAGACAGGGGATCCTCCAGCTACGGTGACGATGGAGGATGGCAGACCCGAGGAGGATCCAGACGACAGCGGTGGAGGAGGCAGGAGCGGGTTGGTGGGCAGGTATTTGTGAGCCTCCGGGCTAAACTCAGGAACAGGAGCCTTTTCAGCCTTCCACATTCCCAGATCCATTAATTGCTCACCCTCAGCCACGGTGCAGGGGGCGGAACTCCTCTCCGCGCTCTCATTGTCCATGACGATCTCCCCCGTGGCAAGCTCTGTAGCCGGCTCTCGCATCTGGTCTGACGTCACAGGCTCGGGCTCCGGGGCGATCCTCAGCACTGTCGCTCTCTCTGGCAATAGCTCGTCAGTCGCGGTGGGCTTGGGCTTAAGCTCCGGGGAGATGGTGGGCTGGACTCTGGGTCTGGTTGTGTTCTGTTCAGAGATAGACGCTCTCCAGACACCAGATGATTGCAGTAATGGCTACATGACCAGTTCTTTTTTTTTTCCTTCAGGCAAACAATCGGACCCTCCAAGAGAAGATTTTGCTGGTCAATAGTCTGGTGGAGGCCTTTGGAAATGCCTGTACTGTGATCAATGATAACTCCAGTCGCTTTGGGAAGTATCTGGAGATGAATTTCACAAGTGGAGGCACAGTGGTGGGAGCTCAGATCTCAGATTACCTCCTGGAGAAATCCCGGGTCATACACCAGGCCGTGTAAGAGACCATCTTCCTGCACATTAACCATGAAGCTGCAGCTAAATTCAGCATGAATACTGAATTAAATATCAAATGATAAGGACTGACTGAAATGGCCAAACACATTTTTATGTTTAATAATTTTCCTGTTTTATCGATTAGCCCAGAAGGGTACAAATCATTTGTTGAAAAATAAAAAAGACAATTTGGAGCAACAATAAATTAAGCACAATGGAAAAGAAAAATGGTTACAATTGTTAGAAATTATGTACAAAGAATCGGCAGGTTACACATTGTATTAAACATTAAAATTTGATGTAGAAAGACTGAAATAGTATTTTTGGCAAATCATACTCCAATAATGTGTTTTATTTATATCTTTACAAATATATATATATATATATATTTATATATTTTTTTTTACAGCGCTATTTTGATGGCAAATGTTCGTTTGTATTAATTGTTCAAACTTATGTATGTAATGAATTAATGCATTTGTTTAAAATATTTCTTATAATAAGTTATAATTTATAATGCCATAAAGTTATAAAGTAATAATTTTAATGGTAAAAATAAAAAAAATATTAAATCATTAAATTAATTTAAATTATTAAATTCAATTAAAATAAGAAAATTAAGAATATGCTTTTCTTTTCATTGTGTTTACTTGCCATCATTTTCCACCAGCACTTTTTCTCAGCTGCTTGGATACTAAAATGGATTCTTTCTTTTTTCAGAGGGGAACGTAACTTCCACATCTTCTATTATATCTATGCCGGTCTGGCAGAGAGGAAGAAACTCGGCCACTACAAGCTGTCAGACAGCAAAACTCCAAAGTAAGTTCTTGAGCGCCTGATAACAGCTTGCTGTTTTTATCTGGATCCACATCTGACATGCTTACTTCTGTTTTGTACTCTTTGTTTTTCTCAATTCCAGGTATCTCCACAATGAGAATGTTAAATTAGTGCCTGACATTGTGGGCAATGCCTTCTATAAGGAGCAGTTTGAGACAGTGGAGCAGTGCTTCAAAGTCATCGGCTTCACACTAGAGGTACACAAACCTATCGCAATAAAGTGCTTACAGTCTTTAAAATAATGGTTCAAGAATACCATATTGACATTTTTTTCTGCAAAGAACTCTTCTAAGTACAGTAGAATCACATTTTTAATAAGTGTCATTTAGAACGTTAATTTAATTTTACATAATTAGAGTTCTTAAATTGGAGATGATAGCACTGGCTGTCATTATATTAAAATGCAAACGTTGTTTCTTTTGGAAAAGGGGCTAAATGCCCTTTGATTTCTATATAATGAAGTGTAATAGACAAGAAGAACACTGTGGTGCAGTGACCGTGAGAATAGCATGCCTGTCCATTCAGGTCCAGTGCTCTGAACGCTGGCGATGGCCTGTGTGGAGGGTGATGTAGAAGTTGTCACCCAGTGCTCTAATGCCATCAGTCTTCACAATTAGCATCAGGAGAATCAATGATGCATGCTAGAATACATTACCAGTGCCCATTTTGTCTGGACGGCTTCAAATCAAAGCTTATCAGTGAAATAAGAAATCCCAAGATCGTGAAACTATCACAATAGAGCGCAACGTCTGGTTCTGGAAGTAACTCAATAAATTTTCTTTATAGAGAAATTATTTTTAACCTTTCAATGTAGATGCGCAATGAATAACATGAGTTTAAGAGTTTTTAGCTCTATTCCTCAAACGATTCCTTAAATTGTTTTTGAATGTGTAGTGTACTTCCAATATTAAAAATAGCCTGTACTTGCAGATAATATAATATTAATGAAATAAAAAGCCACTTAAGTGTTCTTAAAGTGAGTACACTTTCATCACTATTACATTACATTTAGAAGTATATTATTTTCCTAATAAATATTCCTTTTAAAAAAAATTGGTGTACTGAGAAACTTTAGTTCTGGAAACACTGTTGTGAATTATACCACAGAACTACCCCCAGGCCAACATCTAAATCTTCTTAGATAACTTACTCTGTCTCTGTAATGTCAGTTTAGTTTTCGATTTCTCAAGGGAGACAGGAATAATCACAGGCCTGTGAGTGACATGACTTTGACATTACGGAACACTGTACTCTTTAGGGAATCCACCTAATCGAATAGACAGGTTTGGCAGTGTGTCACTAGATATTAACTGCTATGCTACATTTGCAGAAATATGTAGCAGTTTCATTCCTCTTGAATGGGATGCTTAAACATAGATGCTATTAGATGTGATGTCATGTAATAAATCATCTAATTTATGCCTGGCATCTCTTCTGTAGGATTTTTAATTTAATGCATTTTATTTATCCGTTGATATAACCAACCGTGGTATTATTTTTATGTCATAATTTCATTAGGAGCTCGGGAGCGTTTACAGTACCTTAGCTGGGATCCTAAATGCAGGTGATGTTGAGTTCACATCAGTGGCTTCGGAACATCAGACGGACAAAAGCAACATTTCCAACATGGCAGTACTAGAGAGTGGTAAGTATTGCTATATGTTCCAGGTTTTGATCTGAGCCTGAGCACAGTTATATAATCAGTCATGGGCATTGTGTGTTTATGTAATTCTGAAGAGCCACAAGAAACCCTGTGTAAATCCCTATCTGCATCTCTTTAAAAAAAAAAATCTCCATAAACAAGCCTTGTTGCTCTTAGCTGACTTAATAGATGTAGAGGGGCACTTTTCACCATGTTATCTAGACCAGTTTATCTAACTTAAACTAGCAAACCACATTTGAGTTTCTTTTTCTATTTTTTACACAGTTAGCATGGTACTACTTGATATTAAATAGTGTGACATTGTAGGTCTTAGTGCATCTGAAATTACACTGTGATGATTTCATAAAGTGTCTAGGCTAAAATTGCTCACAATCCCTTGGGAAATGGAGTTTGCAATACTTTCACCATAGACATGTCACAATCCGCTGGAGCACGGGCATGAGGAAACGAGGAGACGTGGAGATTTCACAGAACGAGAGTCTTTTAATGATCCAAATGGGAGACACAGAGCACAAGGATGACGTTCACAACAAGTAGACCCAAAAAAACAAATTGAACAGACTGGGGCTTATAAACACAGGGCAATCAGGGGAACACAGGTGCATGTAATCATAAAGTAATCAAACTAAACAAGAACAGGAAAAGGACCATAAAAGGAAACACAGGAAGAACTACAGAGACAAAACGGGGTCCAAAAGTCTGACATTTTTCGCCCCCTCCCGGAAGGTGCGTCCTCGCACCGTAGATACAACAGAGGGAAGGATGGGTGTGAATTTGGGAGGAGGCTCAGGAGGAGGACGGACACCCAGGAGGGGGCCGGCAGACAGAGACAATGGGGGTTACTAAGGAGAGAGGAGCCAGGGAGGAGACAGGAGGGGCTTGGAGCAGGAAGAGCCAAGCTGAACCCAGGCCACAGCCATTATGATGACCCATGGTGGAGCCGACGGAGGGAAGAGCCATGGAGGAGGAATGGTTGCATGGAGGAGGAATGGTCCGGAGCAGGTGGTGTAGGAGCCCGAGGCAGAGACAGAGAGCCAACGAGCCAGGGGGATGCCGAGGATCCGGGGGGCCAGGGTGGAGCCCAGGGCTCCGGCCACCGAGGTGGAGATCCGGAGATCCACGGCGGAGCCGGAGCGACTGAGGACCAAGGTGGAGCTGGCGGGAGGAAGGAGCCCAATGGAGCCGGTGGGACGAAGCGACGAGGTGCAGCCTCCAGCAGGAGGAGGAAGAATTCTGGGCGGGTGGAGGGATCCATAAGGGGAAACACAATGGAAACAAAAACACTGAGAGAAAAAACGGAAACAAAAACGGAGGGTAGACACACAGAGTTAACTGTATTCGGTCGGGTCTTCTGTCACAATCCGCTGGAGCACGGGCACGAGGAAACGAGGAGATGTGGAGATTTCACAGAACGAGAGTTTTTTAACACAGGGCAATCAGGGGAACACAGGTGCATGGAATCATAAAGTAATCAAACTAAGCAAGAACAGGAAAAATACCATAAAAGGAAACACAGGAAGAACTACGGCGAGGTAAAACATTTCCAAAAGTCTGACAAAACTTTTCTGTTGCAGGAAAAAATATATATATTGTAAGGCAAGAGACAGCAGTTTTAAATGTATGAACCTAAAAGTATACCATAACTAGTGACATGCACAATTACTGATTAGTGTATGTATGTAAATTGGGATGTGGCACCAGTCATGTATAACCATACTATATAGCATTCCGGTGTAAGATTTTTGTGTCCCAAATGTAATGCTTTTATTGTTAACTTAAAGTATTAAAAATTGTTTTCGTAATTGAAATAAAATAAAATATAAATATTAGAGGAAAAACCAAAACCTAAACTTGGCAGCTAACTGAAGTAAATACAGTAAGTTGAAGCTGAAGAATTAAAATGACTAAAATCAAAACTGTAATAAAAAATTTACTAAAATTAAAACTGGAAAAATAAAAATAAAAGTTAATTCATGTTAATAAATATTATGGTAACATAATAAGGCCCCATTACTTAATGCATTAATTAGCAATAAGCAATGCATTTGTTACAGTATTTATTAATCTTTAACTAGCAATGAACAACTGTTCGTTTTAGTTCATGTTAACTCAGGTCCGTTAAATAATATTAACAGATGCAACGTTTGATTTTAATAATGTTTTAGTAAATGTTGTAATTACATTAACTAAGATTAATAGTTTCGGTCCCACTTTATATTAAGTGGCCTTAACTACTATGTACTTACATCAAAACTCAATAACACAATAAGTGCATAGTACCAAATGATTAATTTAAATGTAAGTACATAGTAGTTAGGCCACTTAATATAAAGTGGGACCATAGTTTATTTATAAGTTAACTAATGAAGTTAACTAATGTTTAACAAATGGAACCTTATTGTAAAGTGTTAGCAAAACGATAATAGTATACAAATAAAGTCAAATCTCAGTACATTTATTTCCTATAGTAGCGAATGGGTCTTCAAATTAATTGAGGTAACGAATTTGGCTAGATACTAAAGCTAACAGTACTTAAGAAATGAGTTTGTTGTTGTGTTTTTTTGTATTATTGAGATACTATTATATATTTTATTTATATTTTAATTCGTTTTTTGTTTGTTGTATACAATTTTGCTGCAGTTTCCTGAGATGGTAGCAAAACTGGTGTTCTGACTTGTTACTTGTACTAAAAGCGTATTTTAAAATGTATTCAGTAGAAGTGGCATGCAGTTCCTATATATCTAAATAAGCACATTGTTATGTTTCTATGTGTTTGTATGTTCAGCTGCATCGCTGCTGTGTATCCGTGCGGA